TTCTTTATTTCACTCTCCCTTTCTCTCTCTCTTACTCTTTATTTATTTCACTCACTCTTACTCTTTCTTTATTTCACTCTCTCTCTCTCTTTCTTTATTTCACTCTCTCTTTCTCCCTCTCTCTCTCTCTCTCACACTCTCTCTTACTTTTTCTTTATTTCACCCTCTCTCTGTTTCTCTCTCTCTCACACTCTCTCTTTCTATTTCTGCCTTTCTCTCCCTATATATCGCCCACTGTGTCCGTTGTCTATCGTTCTTTCTCTTTGTCTCTCTCTCTCTCTTTCACTCTCTCTGTTGTCTATCGTTCTTTCTCTCTCTTTCACTCTCTCTCAACTCCTCTCTGTATGTATGTGCGTCTGTCTGCGTATATAAACGACATGTAATCGCAATCATGATATGATAGGGACTGTTGTAAATATTCCAAAGCGAAGTGATATGCCATAAATTAATGTCGAGATTAAAGTTAATCAACGTTTGTCAAGGATTTGCTTATCGTCTGTCCCTCACAGTTGAGACTTAGATTGTCTGTTGATCATAGAATTTAGATGTGAATTACATCAACTCTTAGACAACCTCAAATCAAGTCCAGAAAAAGAAATTCAGCATACAAATTGAAAGTAAAGCTGATTAAAGCAAAGACTCCATCGAACAGTTAACTGCAGCTATTTGAGGGCGTGGCGCCTATACCTCCTCCGCCTCTATGCTCATCAGTGAATATTTCGTGCGTTAATCGGATAATACGTATATTTAATATTATTACCATTGCCGATGCTTGTCCATTTGACCTGAGGGCTTCTCATTCTCTTGACTGATTGCCGCCGCCGCCCCCTTTGACGCTGTGATTGATGTGAATTCGTTGATGATGCGACGCTCCCTGCCGTATGTTCGCGCACTCTCTCTCTCTCTATCTGTCTCCCTCTCCCTCTCAGTGGGTCTCCACGCTGGTTCGATTAAAACAATCAATTTAATTGTTATCACAAGTATAGAGCAGAGAATACACAGCACAGAACAGAACAAATAAGAAGAATATCTACGTGTAGTAAATAAAGCTGGCATGCGGCGTTGCCTTCGTTTTGTTTATTTACCCATTGAATACCGAGTCGATTGACATAAAAGACATCAAGCGAGCGAGTTCCTATCAAGCGAATAAAGGCAAATCAATGGGAATGCATGTGTAAATTTGTAATAATTTTTCAATATGTATTTATTATTTATATAGAGACATATAATGCCAATGTATATGAATATATATTATCAAATATGAATTCACTTTTTATTCATCCATTTGACAAATTGCAATATTTTACAATTGTAATTTATCAGCCCTGGTGTAATCACTAATCGATTGTTATCGATTTAAATTATCGTCAATAACCATTTTCAGTTCGAACTGCATATCAATCGACAAATAGTAGTTCGTATTGATAAGATAAATAGATCCATGTACAATATAGTTATATATGAATATCTGTATATAGTTATGTATGTGTGTGTGTGTGTAAGCCGTATGTAAGTCAATCGTTTGACACACTTCAGCTGCTTTGAGCTCTATAACCGGTTGCCTGTAACACGGGAGGAGTATTGTGTGTAAAGTTTGACGCAATTTTACAGTGACAATGGGACAATTATAGCCGAGCGTAACTGAGCGAGTTTTTAGTTGTCGTTCGCTGGTAATTACACGTGTTTTAATTCACAAGCTGTCATTGTTGTTGCTGTTGGCATTGTTGCTGTTGTTGTCGCTATTGTTGTTAAATTGTATCGCAATTTGATAAAGCACAAAGTAATCAACACGACAGCAATAAATGGAGGGGCGTTGATCGGTCACAAAAAAAAAAAAATAAATAAATAAATAAAAATAAAAAAAAAAATCTTTCACAAAAAAACATGAAAAAAGATTATAAATACATGTTTTTTTTTTTGCATTTCTCATTGTAGCAACACGAACTTTGAGTCATTCACAAATTATTTGTGACAATTTCAGATATACTGCGAGTCATAAACCATCCAAAGTATCATAAATATACCCATGACAGGGTAGACGTAATTTGGGTTAACTTGAATCTGAACTAAGTCTTATGTTATCTAACCAAACGTAACTAACATATTGTCGCGATATCTTTAAGGACACGTACTTCTATGATACTCCAATCTTCATTTGCAAGAATCTATTGAAATCTATATCGAACTATGCTCACATATATGATATGATATGCTATTCTACAGTTATGTAGAAGTCTGAGTCACAGCTTGAGTTTGCTATAGAGCATCGAAAACTTTGGATTATTTTGAGAAAATCGATTAAAATCGATAACAAACATTCGTTCTTTTTGACTTGTTTCACATGGACTCATGCATATACTCTATAGGTATATACCTATATATAGATATGTTTTTTAACTTTAGTCTATTTCCATGAAACTGATTAAAATCTATATCAATATGTAGCTCTTGACATGCATTTAGATGTCGATATATAAACTCCTATGTAAATAATCTATAACCCAAATGGACTGTATATCGTAGGTATGCCATATCATCGTATAATTTCCAGGAAAACGCTTAAAATCTATAGCAAATCTTAGTTTTTTTTTACCTGTATAGGTCTATTTTTTTTAGTATATCTAGTCTAATCTAGTTTTAGTCGGATACCATTCCTTTTCAATGCATTTTTTCTTCAAAGGTTTCAGGGTATCTCCCAGTCGAATCGTACACCTGCTCAGCATTCGCTTGTCAGTTTCTGGATAACTTTTCAATTATTGCAAAGTTCAAGTCACAAATACCTACGCTATGTTAATTGCAATTACTGTGTCTCTTTCACCTGTGCAGGTGGAAAGGTGCGACTAGGCGTGTTACACTTTTCAACTTCGAGCGCCGTTTGAACGGTCAATGACTCGCACACACAGTTATGATTTATTTGCGGGTTAGCTAAGCGCGAATACATTAGAGAGACAGCGTGACACGCCCACGGGGAGGCTGGCTAAAATGTGTGTAAATAACATTTATGTGGAGACAAAAGTTGTCATATGTCGCTTTCTCTGTGAACAGCATGTCCCTTGCATAACCATACAAAGTCGTCCATTGATGGGTGTTTACTGTATTTGAGCCGTCCATCAAATGATCTGCATAACTGTTCATCTAGATTGTGGCCAGCGCATTATGCAGTCGGTTACACCCGACTGCGCTGTTCTGACTCGAATTTCTTTTGTTTTTATTTTGTTGTTTATTTATTTTTATGATGACCATTGTAATTAAAGCCTTAAAGCTTTTGGGGCTTTTTATTGTAAAAAGCACTTAACTAACTGTACATCGAGGGCCATAGAGTTACATAGTATTATGTGTCCGAGTCTCGACGACCAGGCCGGGCCTGAACTTGTGTGATAATAAAGAGACGAGGCAACAACAACAAAACAATACAACCACCGGGAGATGCTCAACTGCTTAAGACCAAAAATTAAACCAAAACTGCGGGTTAATACCCTTTGCTCTGCCAGTTAGCCAGTTAAAACTTCGGACTTTTGCTTAACTGTAAAGAAATCTTAAATGGGAAATATTACAACGTTTGCCCACACACAATTAAAAGCGAAAAATGTGTACAAAGAACATAATAAAGTGTCTGAAGCTCTCTTTGACCTGATGTCGTGTCACACACATCTGTGTGCTCCAAGAAATGGTTGCGTGAAGAACTTCTTTTGGCTAATGATGTCATCTCCTAAAAGCGTCTTTCTATGCACTTCTCATAGGTGCGAGCACTGAAAGAATTGACTACTTATATTTGTAAATTCTGTATATAATATGTAAAATAGAATATACATAATATTATGTGGCTTATCTTAGCTAAGATCTCAACTAAGATTTGTCAAAGAATGTTAGATGTATCCTATAAATGAATTTTATTAGATGATTAATAATTAATAATGTAAACGTCTTTCCATGCGATTCTCATGGCTTCAATTAAAATTTATCAAAGAATGTTAACAAACATTTTCTGATTTTATATAATTTTATAATCGTATATCACGTTAATGAATTACATATATTACCAGATTAATAATTTATAATGTAGACGAACAATTTATTGATTTAGTATATCTGTATATTTGAGGGATCGTTTATACCTTTTATGAATAACAATAATGAATTATCAATTATTCATTATCAATTAATTTTATGTTTATAAATAATTAATTAATTATATTATGTAACTGATAATGTCAGCGCCTTTCTATGCAATTCTCATGGGTTTCACTAAGATTTGTGCAAGATTATCAAGAAACCATTTGCTGATCTTACATACATCTGATAAATCGTAAATGCTTTTAATGGATAATGAACTTTGTGAATTGGTTAATAATATGCAAATTGTATTCTTATTCTTTTAGGTCGCAGCCATAATCGAATCGATGCAATAGGAACGTTACAACTCAATTGCCATGCGCTTGTCAGGCATTACAATGGGCGTCCTGACGCCTCAGAGCCACAGAAAACAGCAAGTTGTCCACTCTGTGGCTCGCTGCTGAGCTGAACGTATTTAGCAGCAAATGAAGGTGCAGCACGTAGCTAGCGAAGCCGCCAACCAGTAGCAGGTTGGCCAACAAGCGACACAAGCCAGCCGCAGCAGCAACAACACCTTCAGCTCTGTAGCAACTCCTCCTGATAAAGAGCAGCCCCAGCCGGCAGCAGCAAGAGAGGCGCAAAAAAGAAAATAAAAAATAAAAACAACTTTGCAGCTTTAACCGAAAATGTTACAAAACTCGAATGCAACAGCCGCAGCAGCAGCAGCGGCAGCAGCGACGCCCAGCACAGCAGCCGCTGCGGCAGCGGCAGCGAACAATGCAGCGATAGCCGCGTCATCGATACAGCCCAAGCTGGTTGTCATACGAAGGCGTCAGAATCAGGGCTTCGGTTTTACGCTGCGTCACTTTATTGCCTATCCACCGGAAGATGATGCCGCCAGCTGGCCACAGGTAAGCGTCGCAAGGCAATCCAGCTGGGCTGCGATGGGGATGGGTGGGGATAGCAGGGGGCAGGGCAGTGGCAGTGGCAGTGGCATGGCATGGGCATGGTCAACTCAGCCAGTTGAGAGCGAGAGCCTGGTGTGCCAGAGTCTGCCTGCATCCATCTTCAATTAGTCATCAATTGTGCCTTGCCACTTTTGCTTTTCGCGGTCTGGCAATGCTCACTTCACTTCACTTCGGCTCTGCTCTGCTCTGCGCCGCGTCGCAGCTGCGCCAGTCACATTTGCGCAGTCGCCGCCGTTACGTGAGCGCAAAGCACGCGCCGCCTATTCAAATGGCAATCGCTGCTTTCTTTTTGCTCTTTGCCAAAACTGTCTGAAGTATGCCACATGCGTCAAAGAGCTTGCAACGGCAACGGCAGCGCCAACAGGCAGCAAAATTTTCTACATTTTTAGAGATATTTGCAATGCAAAAAAAAAGAATTTATAGTACTTAAAATGAATTCAATTTAATTAAATATCATGTGCATTAAATGCTGATAAAAGAAAGTCCAATTTCCGATTGCTTGATTAGGATTTTGTATTTTTATTTTTTTTTATACTTATAAAAAGTTTGTTTTGATTGCATATTATTCCTAAACTTCAAATAAATAAGAAAATGCATATAAAAATATACAAAAATATATAATTTAAACAAATTACAAAAATATTAACATACTATTTCAAAGAATTTTATATTTTAGTTCATTTTAATTTTTACTTGTTTAATGTAATGCAAAGCTTTTTCCAGTTTTTAAAACTTTAAATCTAATTCATTTACTTTCTATAAAGCATATATTTCAATGAAATCCTTTTCGATAGCATAGGGTATCTCCGAAATGATCAGCTTCCAGTTGCCATTTGCTCACAGCCTCTCTTGTGCTCCCACTCCTTATATATATAGTTTATATGATATTTTTTGCATTGTATACGAAGCGCGTTCATTGCGCTCTCTTT